TATATATATATATATATATATATATCCAAGCTAGTATTCACCAAGTAACCTTCAATCTTGTATTCAAATTACATGTCAAAATAATAATGTTATGCTTCGGAATACTAGTAAGTAAGGCTGGAGGGTGTGGTGCCACCGAAACCGCACTCCCTCCCCCGCCACATCAACGCCATGTCATTTTTTACCACACAAGTGTGGTTTCTTGCCACACCAAGGGAGTGGTGCCACACTTTTAAAAGGCAAAAAAGAAAAAATAAATAAATAAATAAATCAATTCATTTATTCCCCCAACGGTCACACCCACCAACAACCAATCACAAACCACGGTCTTCAAAGACCGCACTGCGGTCTTGGCCGCACCTAACCGCACCCTGGGGGCGGTGTTCCCTGGCCACGTGTCACCATCGCGGTTCCAAACCGCATCCCACTCCGTGAAGCCTAAGTAAATCCGAAGTTACACCTTTGAATAGAATTGGGTAATAGCAATTATCCAATTTCAAAATCAAAATCTCAAAATACTTTCAAAGCTATTTTGTACTTATAAGATATATGGCGATAAGTAGCTTTAATAATTATAAATCTAAAACCAAATAACTTGCATTGCACATGCTTTTAGATTCCTAACCCAAGTTCTCTATACTTAAGCCCCTTTCATTATAAACTCCCAATGGTCCGATGGATAATCAAGGTAGTAGCATCACATCCAAAACGTGCATATAGGTCCGACAATGAATACCAACATTTTAAAAACATGTGAACATTACACATGGATCCATAAAATGTGTTTGCATAGTCCATCTCTTAAGCATTTAAGATTAATTGTCCTATAAGGATGAAAACCGCCATGTGAACGGAATGGAAGCAATCAAGTCAACTCATCCTAAGTGATATATGTACATATAAGATGCTTAAACCACTTTCCAAGTAAAATTTGTTGTTCCCCTAACACTACCGATATACTTAATCCTTATACTCATCAAAAGCTCTTATTATTAAAAGGAAGGGAAGGGAAGAGAGGGGGGAAATAAAGTGTATAACCCTCAATAGTCTAGGGGGCTATAATGTAAATATGTATTTCGTATTGCAATCAAACGATTGCAACTCAATTATGTAATCGACTCTCTTGAGCCTATAAATAGGGCCTTTGCCCATATGAAATAAACAAGTTAAGTTTGAGTGTTTAAGACTTGAGTTGATCTCAAAGTTCTTCCTCTGTTGAAATAGTTGTTCTATTTCTGAATAGCAGAGCCCTATCCAAACATATTCATATAATCATTCATACAATCCATCATCAATCCATCCTGACGCATCATTCAGGTATAATCTTATCCTAATCTTTTTATTAATTCCGTTATGTCGTTAATTTTGGTATCAGAGCTAAGTTTCGTTCTTATCATTTTTATTATAAATATAAGTATTCATCCGTTCGTTCATAAAAAAAAAATTTCATCATACATCATTATAAATGTTATTACATTAATACATATCATTTATCATACTCATCTTTATTTGTCATGCATCATCATTATTATGAATATGAATGTTCAATCGCTATGATTAAAATTATCATAAAAATTAATAGTCATGATAAACTCTACTATCACTATCATTTTTAAAACTATAAATTTTTATCGTAACTTTGATCCAAAACACAACTAAATTATTGTTCTTATAGAATTATAATCATGAGTTTTTCAAGTCTAGATACAACTAAACAAGAATTAAATTTTTTTTCGTAAAACACTGAAACAATCTAAAAAATTTCTTTTAAACCTAAAAATAGA